ATAGTGTTGGATCCAGCATGTTCAAAGTGCTAATCTACCATTTTGAAAGAGTGGTCACTCCTCGGCCCTTTTAAATGGTGACTTAACATTTCAGTTTTCAGAGTACTAGTGTACATGGGCGTTTGTACACATCAATAACCCACTTCTTGTAACGGCCAAAATAAAGCTGACTGAATCTTTGCGCAGCACAGAACGTACGGCCACACGTACGGTGCAAGGGTCTGAAAATATTTCTACGCATAATTTTCGAAACGTGTTGCGAAAATTGTTAAAGGTCGATATAATTCCACATAAAAGCAATTACCAGTTCTATTTTAATCAGGGAAGTTTTTAGTTGGTGTTATCTCTTGTTTATATATTTAGCCTGCAGAAGGGACACACCACCTTTTACATATCTTTCAAATGCTTAATTTCTATGATAAATTTGCTCTCAGCCAATCAGATGCCTTGATTTCAGTAGCTTATAACAGTAGCTTGTAACTTGTTATTGATATCAAGTTTTATGAAACAGGGCCCTCTCTTGAGCACCAAATCGACCTTTGACATTCGACACCCATTAAACCCAACTCGAACCCTTTGTTGATTGTACGAGTTATGCGATCACAAAACCAATACACCGTGTGGCATAGCTACGAGTGTCTATATAGTAAAGCCCTCTAAAAAAGGGATCGGAGGTGTTTCATCAAATTCTAAAATTGATCATAAGTTTTTAAAATTAATACGACTGGATAGCTCCAATCAGAACATTTTAACATAATGGGTTTGCTTTTTTCTAGAGGTACAGAAAGAGAGAAGGACAAAAATAAAAAAGTAAACAAACAGTTATTTAATTTAACACAAAATATGATATAATATAAATATGATTATTCCATGGTATAAATACTTATGAGAAATCGAAATAGATTTTAGTTGATGAAACACCCCTATAAATCCCACGCGAACGACATTATCAGTCTTCTGGACTGTCGTTCTTATGGGTTAGCAGTAGTCTTAATCTAATGAGGACGGGATGAAGCTAACATTATTAACTACTCGCACTCACCAAGATGTCCGAGAATACTACTGATATTCACGATGCGACCAGATTTCTGTTTCTTCATGATGGGCAGCGCTGCTCGTATCAACCGCACCGTGCCGAAATAGTTGGTGTCAAACATACTCTTAGCTTTCTCCATACTCATCGCCTCCAGCGGCCCGAAGAAACCAAAACCAGCGTTATTTACTGTCAAAAGAAATATGAAAGGAGGAAAAGGGGAGAAATAAAGAAAGAAATAAGAAAGAACGAAAGAAAATTGATGAAAATAAAGAAAGAAAAAAGACAGAATGGAAGAAAAAGAGAAATAATGAATGAAAGAAAGGAAGGAAGAAGGAAAGAAAGAAATAGTTTTCGAACGGTTTTCAAATGTTTCGTTTCAATGCGTTGTAAGCCAACGTAAATGCAAAAGATCCAATATGGTCATAATACCAGTAAAATAATAATCTGGATTTGTTAAACGGTTTTCCCGCCATATCCAGAGCCTGAAGAGAAAGTAAGCCGAAGTTACTCGATGCATTCAAGTTTGTTGAGGTGCTGACACTGAAAATGCAATATATTTGTCTACACTTAGTTGAATTACATGCACAAACCCTTGTCAGTCACTTTATGTAACTGTGTCTGCAATGTGAGCCTATGAGACAGCATACTACATGGGCTATATACTTCAGCAGCTTCAGACACAGCAGAGCCTCACAGACCTAGGCTCTACTCAAGGCTTTATGAACTGTGGTAACATTCAAATTAGAGTCGGTGCCTTCAGACTAGGCTACACTCACCCAGGACGTCGACACGCCCGTGTTTCCCCATAATGAACTCGAAGATGCTCTTGTCCTGATCGTCGACGGTGACGTCGAGCTGGCGAACGAAGAGCGTCTTGTCGAGGGCATCGCCCGCCGCCTTCTCGAGGCCTTCCTTCTTAGCCAGATTCCTCATGGTGGCATAGACCAGGTACTTCTTGTCTGGGTCCTGACCCAGCCTTGCGGCTAGGGCCAGACCGATACCGGTCGAACAGCCGGAGATGAGTACGACAAGAGGGGCCATGGTGTTCTTGAGAGGGTGGAGAAATGTCAGCAAAATTGAAAGGTTATAATCCTCGGCGGAAAATACCCTATTTTAACCGGATTTACCCCACACCCGAATAAACGGTCAGCATACCCTCACAAAAAAAAAGTTGAATGGTATCCCAATGGAAGTACCATTGAAAATGGGCAAGCGGGCCCTTTATAACTAAGACAACCCATTACTTTTTATTGTATTTTATCATTGTTTATCAGTCCTCTTTTTGGCGTCCAATCTTTAATGACTCTTGCCCTCACAGTTGTATTGATTTATGATTATACACAATATCCAATGCGTCCCAGAAAAAACGAAGCCTTCGTCTTCTTTGTGCATGGCTGATCGTCAACGAAACGGAGTTAAGTCTTTTGTCAACTCTGTTCGTTGCAACGGCAGGCAGCCAGTAAAAACGAACCCGTTTGGTCAAATTATGGAAATGTGAGCATTAATTTAAACAAACATAACCTTGTTATTCCTGGCCCATTTTTCCTGATTAAGGTCTCATGTGAAAGGGCAGAAATTTAACTTTCTAGAAATGTGATTTACTCCTTGAAATTCAGATACCGCCCGCCCAATGACTTTTTGGTTTCCTCTCTTCAAATTGCTTTTAATCACTCATGCGTGAGATATGCATCAAATGAGTTGCATCAAATGAAAGAAGAGGATCTAAGCTTTCCAAATATGTGTCATTTATTAATTATAATTGTGATTAAGTTATGATAAAACATCGATAGATCTCGGTTTCGTTTTTTCTGGGACGCACTGTATATTACGAAAAAAAAACATCGCGATACGGATTTAGCCTTTTTCTAAAGACAAATGTTGACTATTGATTTTACCCTTTATTGATCATTGTCGATTGGGTAATCAACATGTATCCGTTTGTGTTCTCAGGAAATAAACGACGTTTATTTTACTAAAACCTATCACGCTGGCAATTTTGGCATCCCAATATCAAATTAGGTCACCTCCCCCGCCAAAAGGTATTACAATGCAGTAGCTAGGAATTTATTATAGCACCTATAAATATTTTTCGGGAGAGGAGGGGGGGGGGCCTAATTATTGCGGGGGATATATCGTATTGTTTGTGCAGCTTTGAATTACATGTTTTTACCTTACGATAGCTCCATAGTAACAATAATAAAGTTAATTATGTTTATAGGCGGTAAATAATTTGTGTAATGCTACTACGACGGGAAAATTATATCGAATAAATAAACGTGTTTTATTTTGCACTATTTACAAATCTCACAAGCATTTTAAAAGTACGTATAACTAATGTGTGTTTTCATGATTGTGTATATATCCACCAAAATGATTTGTAGAGTTTAAGAGACTATATAACAATTTCAGGGGGCGGGTGGCACAAGACAGTAGTCACCAAGTGTTTGGTGTTTTGTTTTGGGTACTAAATACTATGGGCGCGTTCATTCTTGATTTTGACGGCCAGAATCAGGCATCTGTTACGCGTTTAGTTTAAAACACGATTGCGTTCATGCTCACTTTTGTAGAATCACCGAAAAACGGCGATCACGATCGCCGATCGTAAACTCACAAAAAGATGCGTTTACAATTTGTAAACGCGTTTAAATGGGGTCAACGCACTGACCTCTAGTGGGTCTACGTAGCATGCGCACACAGGTTTGCGAATCCAAGCTGAAGGCCACCCAAGGAGAATTGCCTGGAGAAGTGAGCATGAACAGTGCACCGTGGAACTGCGATTACGATGAGCGTTTACGATGAGCGTTACAAATCGCTCATTCTGCCTTCAAAATCAAGCATGAACGCGCCCTAAGACAAGCAAGAACAAATCAAGGTCATAAGCCCATTCTTCTTATTTTCCATCTTTACCGAAGGGGGGGGGGGGGCATGTAGTGACCGTTAAACGAGCACCTTGATAGCCCTCTAGACGACTCAAGTACCTTTTATCATATTGAAAATTTAAACTTAAAATTAGAATTTTCATATTTGTTTGTGAAATGATTTGGATGACGAAGTCTTCGAAGTCTTCTCAGTTAATATAATTAACTGATACCGATAATCTAGATACAGAGCAAAGTCCATTATATTCAGATGATATTGGTTTTAATCACCTGTTTGCGCGTGAATATCATATCATAGTTAGTTTTTAACCATATTAACTTTACGAACCTTACACACAGAAACGTAACTGCATGTCGACTTTATTTGTTCTGCGTGCAAGATATTTTATAATATGCTTGTTTGTTTTAGATTAAAAATTAGCCACATCATCAAGTTTTGTTTTGTACTGTACGACTTTCTGTCTTTTCTTTTTAAAGCAATTTGGACCTACATTGTAAAGGTATGTGCAGTCTTGTTATATCATATTGTTAATTAAAAAAAACATATAAAACATAACTTTGTACACATCATTATTCACCGATATACAATATTGGTCAAATAAAAAAGAGCTCAAACCATATGGAATTTTGAAGGATATTCCTGAATTAGAAGTGGTGCGGATCATAACGGCGCTTTCGGCGCTTTGACTGGTGACTTTCCGTTGAATGCGGATTTGCAGCGCCGCGAGATATGTCGGATGTCTCGAAGTGGGCCACGGATTCGATGTCGGTTTTTCTCTTCGTTTTGTTGTTGCTATTTGGTTTTTGTTTTATCTTATTGTAAGATGCAATGCTTTGCCTCGGACTAGTGATCATTGTTGAATTTCACTTTACTTTAGTTTGATTGATGATGATGTCATTATTTTCCTTGACCCTGTTTCGTAAAACTTCTTTTGGTAAATCTTCGTCAATAGTTTTGACTTATGTCAAGTGAGCTCGATATTGTAAACCTAAAGAAACGATGAACATGTATGAAATGAAGCTTATAAATAGCTTAGCATCCCCAAACCACTTAGAAAAACGTTCAGCAGGGCTTGCATGTAAGAATGAGGGTGATGCGGATTGTTTGTCTGCCCCCCCCCCCCCAACCAAAAAAAAAAACCAAAAAAAAGTTTTTGCTCATTACGCCAATGCTGGTCACCATTAATACGTACCAGTATTTGGCTCGCATAATTTAAAATTTGCCCCCCCCCCCCCAAGCAATTATGGATCCGCACCTGGACATTGGCACATTGGCATCTATGTATTTGTCGGTAATAGGTGGCCTCTACACCCTCTCCCCACTGAAAAAGGTCTAGCAATGCCCCTGCCCCCCTTCCCGGATATAAGCTAGATCTTCAAATTACATTTCAGCCCCTTTTATCTTTGAATAAAGTTCAGTATTAAATCGCAAGTTAAGCCAAGAGGCAACCATTTGGATAAGGGGGGGGGGATGTAAAAAGTGAACCATTCCGTGTACACTGTACATGCATGTCACTAATAATATGAGTAATTTGCATAGTAAACGGCAGAATCTCCTTTTTGCAATTACAGGATGTCTTCCTGAGGTTACCATTCATGTACCTTTCCAGCGGACTGAGTTTGTGTCGAATGAGAAGGACATCTTGCACCATGGGTAGATTCTGCCATCTCTATCTGATCATGATTCTCTTGATGAGATCTGGTGATGTTGAAACCAACCCTGGACCAGACAGGTCAGTCTGTATATGTATTTGAAGCTTATTTCCTGTTCTTTATTGCGGCAGTAATAACCAGTAGGGGCTTGTATTTATAACGATCACTCATGTAATCAAGATATCATGTTTTGAGTACTTTTGTAGATATAAGCTCTCCAATCTATGAAGTGTAGGGTTGACACTTGTTTTTTTACAGGCCAATAATTCACCAATACTCAAGCTTTTTCGAAGATGCAACATGATTCATGTTGTACTACACCCTATATTTCATAACTTGAACAAAAATACAAGTACCTGTTATTGAGACTAGGCATGAAATATATATCATATATATTTTAGTTTACATTTACTCTTGGTTTTCTTCAGTACCTTTGATAGGTGTGGTATCCTGCCACTGACTTTCAGATAGAGTCAGCCTTTATGAAGGCGCCCTAAATCATGGCTGGAGAAGCATGATTCTTTTGTGTTACAGTAGTCTCTTCTCAGTGACAATTTACATGTATGTTGTTAATATCTGCGTTAAGTACCGGATATCACTGTTTGTGTTTTGGAATGGTATTTCAACGAAATGTTGGGTCACGTAACCCAACATTTTGTAGATCAGATCGTGTTCTACCAAAATGCTCAAATCGTGATAACGCCATTACGTGAGTGATCGTTACAAGCCAGCAGTATGATTAGTAAAATACTTTTTTTTTTATTTAAGCGTAGCATCACATACATGCATGCTTATTTTTCTTCCATATTTCAGTGCACTGCTTAAAATGAGGTATTTAGCCTTGTGTGTGTATATGCATCAATATACCTTTAAATTTATCTTATCAGTTCATGTAGCTTAATAAAATCAGATAGGGATGCGCATGAAGCTGCAGGTACTGACAGTGCTCAACTGTTGGAGCTAGTGTACATATTTGTAGGCTGGAGTAGTTTATTCTTCCATGTAATTAGTTGTACTGTCTGTTTTGCCCAAAGCCAAAGGCTCATCAAGAACTGAACTAAACTTACAAAGTATGAAGCTAGGTGCTTCAGTGAATGTAGAGTAGGGGTTACAAGACTTACAACACAATAATAGATACTTAAGAGATTTTTAAGAGATGCTTAACAATTATTTTTTTTTAATTACAGGATTGTCAGTGAGAAGGATTTCTTGAAGCTGTCCAAGCAAATTGAACCTAGCTACTACAAAGAGGTGGGCATTAACCTGGACATCTCCATCGCAGAGCTAGGTCAAATCGAGAAAGATAGCCATAATACAAGTGATGCATTCATGACAGTGTTCATGAGATGGAGAGACAAACAGCCTCCAGGCACTGACATCAGGGCTCTTCTTGCAGAGGAATTAGAAAGAAGTGACTTAGAGTCCCTCTCTGTCAAACTACTCACTGGCAGTCTCTTCCTGAAGCGGACAGGTGAGAATAAGAAGGAAATCTTGTCGGCTGCCCGCAAAAAGGCCTTAACTGCCATTGAAAATATTTTGCTCTTGCAGGCAGCCAACAAACACTGATTTGACACTTTCTCATTTGGTACAAATAGTTTTACTTATAGCAGGACATCCCATTAGATGAACAGCCCATGAGACTGATACTGCCAGTCTTGTGGGCTGTCAGTCCACGGGTCGTTGGTCTCAATGGCCTTCTGACAACTTTTCAGATTGTTCGCTAGACATATATTGTCGGTCTTGTGGGCTGTTGGTCGCATGGGCTATGACCAATAATACATGGTTGCAGACCCACACACTTTGTGGTGTGTATTATTAAAACGGAGATGATGAAATTAGTTTTACATGAAGCTGTACAAGTATTGTCATTTAAATTTCATGGCATTTCATACTCATCTTTTGACACCAAGTTTATGAAAATTGTGCCATTACAGAGTTGTTTTATCTTTTGTGACCTTATGTCAGCCACAAATGGAGAAATTCTGATTTGTGTGTACAAAACAAAAAGAAAACTACATTCCTCTCAGTTCTTTCTATATTGCGTGTAAATGTTTTTTGAGCTGTAATTCATAAGGTTCATCATTTATTATGGTCCGTACTGTTAGCAATAGAAATTAATGATATTAACATGTTACGTATAGATACATAAATAGACATGTACGTTCATACAAAAAGACAAATTCAATAGAGATATTTTGAAGTTAGAAAACAAACATACCGTAGACATGTGTCACGCATCAACAATAGTATACATGTATGATGTGTAAAAAGTAAACTGCAAATACAATAAATTATCATCTGTTCTCATTGAATCTTGGTCCAGAGAACACCCTCAAACAGCAGGAATAAAACAAAAATAATGTATAAAGTTGACAAACAATAAATACATCAAAAATTCGTTCTTATGTTCATGCGTATCCTCAAACAACAACATTTGGTTTTCAGGAAAAATTGTCACACTTATGGTATTAAATTTGTAGGTGCACCTATTACAATGCCAGGATCACAGACCCAACCACTTTCTCCTGACCTGATCAAGAGATGTGCAGATGATTTCAAATTGAAATACCGGACAACTCTCTGTAAGATAAGAGCTGATCCTCTCATCCCAACTTCCACTGTGCAATGGGACGACATGTACACAAACCTTGTCCTGGAAAAGGATGATCGACAACGCAAGCGACCACTTGAGTACAAGGATCTCTTTGATCTAAAAGTCAATGGAGAGTTCCCCAAGCGGATCATGGTTCAAGGAGAGGCTGGGGCTGGAAAGACAACATTCTGTGCTAAGATTGCCTGGGACTGGATAAATGAGAGTACTGTTCTCCCAAAGTTTGTGTGGGTACTTGTTGTCTCTTTTCGTGAAGCCAAGCAATACACGATCGGTGAGATTGCCAAGTCGTATCTCTCCAAGGACAACCCAGCAACAGCCTGCCAGATCACTGATTACATCCGTTCAAATCCAAAAGATGTATTTATGGCGTTTGATGGATTAGATGAGTTTGATGGCAAGGTTGTACAGCAAAGGAAAGCTGGTTCAAAGTCGGAATGTCACCAGCCAAAGTCTGCTGATCAAACCAAGGCAAGATCTAAATCAAAGATGAACAAGAATAAGCGGCAGAAATTAATGCAGCCAAAGTCATCAAGCCCAACAAGTGCCACTTCGCAGCCAAGAGTCAACAGTGCAGAGGCAAGTGGAAGTTCTTCAGAGAGAGGTAAAATTGCACTTAAAGACATTCTTCGTTCAGATGAACTTGCCGCTTGCCCTGTGTTGGTGACAACTCGCCCATGGAAGGTCATGGAGATTAGATGGGATGATAGTCTGAGCAAACAGTACACTTTCATGCATGTGGAAGGTTTTAGCGTGGAGAATGTGGAGGTTTACATTCACAAGTACTTTCAAGATGATTGGGCCACAGCAGAGCAGCTTATCCAATTCACCAAAGACAATGACGTCATATCTGAGAATATGGCCATGTATCCTATCTACATAGCTATGCTCTGTTTTATGTGGAGAGAACTTGGTGACGAAAAACAAGAAAAGTTTAAGTCATTACAAACTTTTTCTCAAATATTTGATGAAATGTTTGAATTCTTGAAATTGCATTATGCTCAGAAAAAGATCACAGATTTAGAGAGCCCAGCTTTCCAAGCCTATCGCTCTCAAATTGAGAAGCTCATGGAACCAGTTGCCAAAGTTGCTTTCCTTGGGCTACAAGGAAACACCCTTATTTTCAAAGAAGGTGATTTTGGACAGCGCTCAGACTCCATTGAAACAGCTTGCAGAGTAGGGGTGTTGTCTCAGGAGAAAAAATTGTCATCTATAAATGATAAGAGCAGTCCGTTCGTGCAGTCTACTATCTTCTTTCCACACAAACTCTTCCAGGAGTACATGGCTGGGGTCCATCTTGCTTCCCTGTATGAATTAGACCACAATGAATTCAACAGGCTGATTGAGCAAGTAGTGCTGCCTAGGAATGAAGAGTTTAGACATCTCCTTTACTTCACTGTATCACGGAACAAAGCCATTGCAAACCATGTCATGAAATGCATGGTGCAGGGTAACACCCCGATCCCAATTGAGATGGATTTCTTAGTTGATGTATCTTTTGAGAGTCAGGACCTAGATACCGCAGCCTTGGTGAGGGGTGGAATATCATCTCTAACAATAAACAGATACATGACAACACACACCATAGCAGCGTACATGTATGTATTCACTGGACGTGTATATACAGATATGGTTAGTTTGATAGCTTTATACATACTTTAATAAGTATCATTATTTAAAGGGGACATCCACCCTGATATTTTAGTTGGTTTGAATAAAAGCAGAAAATGTGTAAAACAGGTCATTGACAGTTTGAGCAAAAATTGATTCAAATGATTTTACATTCATAACTTTCATATTTGAAATCGAATATTGCTCAAACTTTCAGTAATAAGTTTCTCTTGTTTTTTTGCTTTTATTGAAACCAATTTAATATCAGGGTGGATTTCCCCTTTAATTGCAAATCCATCAGGCATCTATAGACATGCATTTTTATGCCTCCGTAACGAAGTATCCGGAGGCATTATGTTTTTCAGGATGTCAGTCCGTACGTCCCATTCTCGTGATCAGGTTATCGCAAGAATTGACTGATGGATCCCTGCCAAACTTTGGTCATGTATGTAATTGGCAGAACTAATGAACTGTTTAGATATTTGGGTCACGAGGTCAAAGGTCACAGTGCTCATTATGTATGCAAAAATAGTTAGTGATCGCGTTATCTCAAGAACCGATTGATGGATTCCTGCCAAAATTAGGTCATGTATGTATCCTGCAGAGCCGATGAATTGATCAGATTTTGGGGTCACGAGCTCAAAGGTCGGAGGTCACAGGGCTCATTATGTATGCATAAATAGCTCGTGATCACATCATTATAACCGACAGTCAGATTACTGCTGAGCCAATGAATTGATAAGATTTTGTGGTCATGAGGTCAAAGGTCACGGGTTCATTATATATGCAAAAATAGCTTGTGATCGTATTATTATTAGAACCGATGGACAGATTACCATCAAGCCCAAGACATGTATGTATCTTGCAAAGTCAGTGAACTCATTTGATTTACGGGTCATGAGGTCAAAGATAAAAGGGTCATTTATGTATATAAAAAATAGCTTGTAATCACGATATTCTGAGAACCTGTTAATGGATTACAATCGAACTTGAATTTGAAAAAATTATTTATGACGGAGGCATCATTTACGACTGCGCGCAGTTGAAGTTCCATCTAGTCTAGGAATGTTTCTTGATTTGCCTTTTTTCCACTGTCTAACATCGATGACCTAATATACGTGATAATCTGTAATATAATACAATAATTTTTTGTTTCCACTTTGTATGATATCAATGACAAATTATGTGTGTAAATAAAAGTGGCAGGGATATAAAATAGATATAATGACTGCTATGAGAGGAATAGTTCTTTTATAGGCTCAAGGAGATGCTGCATACTGATATCTCTCCAAAGCGTGCCGAGGGGTGATGCCAAGATGCAACATCCCGACAGTCCCTAAAACAAATATTCCTCGAATCTTAAAGCATATCTTTTATATACCATAAAAAAGGTCATAGAATACATGTGTGACTTACCAATCAGGCCTAAAATAAAAACTTGTTGTATTGCCCTTAGGGTGCCGAAACATGGGTCGGTCGGTCGGATTTTTTTAAAACTTTTTTTTTGTCGCCCTCTTTGTGCTGATATTTTTCAGTTTTAATTTTTTTTAATTTTTTTTTCCCGCCCACTTTTGGCTGATATTTCTCAGTTTGTAATGCTTTAATACATGTGTTTCAGCGTCATCATTCCATTCATATCTTTTTCACCTCATAATAATCCATGGATTGCAATGTTGTGTCGATCGAGATGTTTACGACAGTAGGATTTTGAAACTAGGGCAGAATACGAGTGAGAATTTGGGAATGATTTGATTTTATGCATTTATATCCCATTTATCCCAACAAACAAAATACATATTTATTTTTTTCATTAATAATAAACAAATCTAAAAAAACGTTTTTTTTATAGTTTTTTTTTAAATGTCGACCATAGATTTTCAGATTTTTGGGTCGGTCGCAAAGGGCAATACTGGTAATCAAGTTTGTTTACGCTATCGAGGTGTGTGCTGAAAACTTGCAGGTACATGTAGACCTAGTCTTCAAATATTGGTGTTCTTGCTGTCTTGTTGTAATTGATCATCATCAAGAAGTTCAGCCTTTTATTTTTTTACCTACTTTGGATATAAAATGAAGTTTAGAAACTAAAAAATCTGAGATTATGATCTAGGCCTACAATAAAGATAAAATGTAGCGATCAAATTAATCGCACAAAAACTGTACGGTTGCCGTGTTGCGCACAAACATAAGTTTCAACACGTATTAAAACCAATGGAGATCGTAACTATTTTCCTGGTACAGGAATCTTGCGGGAATATCACTCATGGATGGGGATCGCAGCAAAATTTTAATTATTTTTGTGGAACCCGGAATCTTGCGGGAATATCACTGGTGAACTATTGACCATTGGGCCTACTGGCATTGTCTCTTAATGGCTAAAATCACGACTGTGATTTCAACCAATCAGATGGCTAGATTTCTAAAGAGAGGTATATAAAGAACATTATTTACCTCTAGGCGTTGTGGCGTGCGCCAGTAATCCAGCTAAGAAGTGGAAATTACAAACTGATTCAGCCAAGGACGCAGGTTCGAAACTGAGTCACGTCTTTCAGATGGTGACGTTTAAAGGTCGGTGCCCAGACGAAAATAATCATATCTGATTGATTCACGTCTCTAAAAACCCCCCCCAAAAAACACACACACACACCTGTCTTTAGTCATCTGATTGGTCGAAATTGGAGTCATGATTTTAGCAATGCCGGCCTACCGGTCAATAGATTTTGAAAAGATGCCTGGGTCATGGGCAGCATAAATAAAATGTTGCTTAGATCCCCATTGGCTTATGTGTACAAAGTTTCTTTGTGCAAGCGCGGATACCACAAAGTGCTTTTTGTCTGAGATTCCTGAATGATCGTAACATTCAGGCAACTTTCCAGCAAAGATTTATGGACAGTGTCTCAGATTTTATGTGATGTTTTAACCAGTCTCTACTCAAGAATAGGATAAGGTAAGAATTCATTGTAGAATTGTTTGTGAATTTGGTATATAACAGATATATCGACTGCTTTAAAATTCAAAGCATAGCTGTTTCTATACTGGCTCTCGGGGACGTTAAATCCTGATATGACCCTTTGGCGCGCCAGGGCAGCCCTTGAGCCTATAGAAACAGCGCTGCCTCTCATAGCAGTAAATATCTATACAAAATTAAATTGATAAAGTATCAAAAGATTCATTCACAAAATAACATTTAAGAAGAGAAAGAAAGAGAAGAGAAGAAAACATTAATAACAACATTTTACATGTCTTCAAGGAAGTATCCTTCGTACAATATGTTGACACTAGTTATATCTTAAAGAGGATAAATACTAATGATGATTATTGACTGGATATTTAAACCAACAAAATATGGGGGGAGGGGAGGGGAGGGGGGGGGGTGGTATTGTGATATTACTTCGGACGTATCATTTTATATACCCATCACTTTTATAGGCATATGAAAAATATCGACAGTGCTATTTGAATAAGTTGTATTGGACTACCAACCCTTTTCTGGTCAGAAAATAAGCCATCTTCTTGAAGGGCATTTCCTACCACAGTTTTGCTGCAACCAGTCCTGTTGATAATTTGATGCTTAGACTTCAGAGTAACCCTTTAGATGGAGGAAATAATAAAGGGCCCTTTGAAAACGACCTTTCTTTAATACCATGCTGCATTACAGACAAAATGTTATTCCAGACCTTCTTTTGCAAAAAGAAATTGGGATCATAGGCTTCATAGCACTTCTCTGATGTTATAGACTACTGTAGAAATTACACATTATGCAATCATTCAATGATTCAATCTTAATGCAGGCTGAGTGACAGAAGCACTAACAAAATTTGAGGTGATCTTAAACTTTAGCAATGGACATATTATAATTTGTTGTTTGTTTTGTTTTTGTTTTTGCTTGTGATTTAAGATCTGGTATGAGATTATTGGTTACACATTTGGACCAATTGTATCACATGATTTGGCGGAGATAATATGCTCTGTGCCCTCTCTAAAGGATGTTTCACTAGAACGAGCAGTCTTGCACAGTGACTTCTATGCAGTTCTAGCTAAAGAAGGAAGCAAGTCCAAGGTGAATGAAAATACATACTGTAATGTCGTAATCTAGCCTATCGAGGGGGAGGGGGGGGGTGCTTTGTCAAGACGCAGAACATCAATCACTTGAAAATAGTGGGAAATCACTGCGATTGCAGTCTGGGGGAAAAAAGTTAGGTTGGGTCAAGAAGTTATGGTTTCCGGTTGTTGGCAAATAGATATAAAGAGGAAATAAAGAATATGAGTGGTCCAATGGATTAGTCTACGGAAAGTGAGCCATTATGTATGGGGTTCGAATCCCTTACATACGTAGCACTTATGTTTGGAAGACATTAATCTACATTTGCCATACTCAAACTAGGTGTAGTATAAAGTGGGTACCTAGTAGGATATATTTCTTGAATTCATCACTATGTAGTATGTAGAGATTTATTGCGCTATGGCTGTAATTGTCAGTCCTCCTCTTGTAAGATACATGCTCCGTCAAAAATTTGTCGGTGGTTGCTATCGTGCACTCATCAAATTCTTAACTTAAACCCTGCACAATAAATCACTAAACCTTAGCTCAAACCTATTTGCAGCCCTTGTCTTAATCCTATATAGTTGACTAAATAGAGCACAAAGCATTTGTCACCTAAGCATAGCCATACATATGCATGTATGCCTGAGCACCAAGTTATGTTTTCATTCATTAAATAAAAACATGTACTCTGATAATGTACTTGTATGAATCACTGTTTGTATACATATAGGTCCGAACTGTCAAGCTTGAATCTTTATTGTGTCCAACGTCAGCCCCTTCCCATCACCTAGTAGATGCTTTGTGTTCCATGCCAAACCTGACTGAACTGACACTAAGTGGACAGGAGGAGGAGGAGTTCTATTCTACACTGAATGCAAAGGCATCAACTTTACAGGTATGTATGTGTTTTTGTACTCTATATCCTTGCCATGATCGATTCATGTTTACATGTAGCAGTGGAGATGAGTTTAAGGAGTTATATTTTAACAACAGTCACTACCGGTATTTTTCTTGTTTTTTGTAATGTTTTATATAAAAATATATAACAGTCTTAGCAGAAAAAGAAAATTATTGGAAAGAGGTTCTATCATATGCAGTGTATGATACACAATTCATATAGCTTGAGTTAAAAATGTGATGTTCTGCAAAAAACTTCACTTTTAAAGGTTAGCTTCACAAAAGATTGTTTGGTCTTTAATGGAGAATCACTTGATATGTTTGAGGAAGCAGTTTGAGGAGAAAGGGAGTTTTGTGTTGCTACTTTAAAGTAATACAATTTCAGTAAATAAAAAACACTGAATTACTGTAAAGACTAGTCAATACAAATATTTTAGTTTCTAAATTGGTGTATTCTTAAGTTCACAGCGATTCATAAAGTTTTAATTATGTCACCATGGGTCTGAAATAGGTATTAAAGTATACGTCAGGTGGAATACTCCCTTTAAAACAAGGATAGAGATCTAGATCACAGTGTACTTACTTTGAGCACAACTTCATCTACTCACTCTCCATAAAAATTCTTGTATAATGCAAATTTTTAGTCATGAATGAATTATATAGCATTTAGGCAATATCAAAAATGTGTCTAAATAATTGACAAAGCTATTGTTCCTTCTTTTGTTTATTTCAATTTTCAAACATAAATACAGCTCTATTTTTTAAAATCAATCATATAAATAATATACATTCTAAAATGGCATCAAGCCATCAACCATGGTTCATTTGACTGTAATTGTCAGTCCTCCTCTTGTTAGATACATGCTCCGTCACCAATTTTTCTGTGGTTGCTATCCTGCACTAACCAAATTCTTAACTTAAACCTTGCACTAAAAAGTATACCTATCACTAAACCTTAGCTCGAACCTATTTGCAGCCCTTGTCTTAATCCTATATAGTTGACTAAATAGAGCACAAAGCATTTGTCACCTAAGCATAGCCATACATATGCATGTATGCCTGAGCACCAAGTTATGTTTTCATTCATTAAATAAAAACATGTACTCTGATAATGTACTTGTATAAATCACTGTTTGTATACATGTAGGTCCAAACATGCTCCGTCAAAAATTTGTCGGTGGTTGCTATCGTGCACTCATCAAATTCTTAACTTAAACCCTGCACAATAAATCACTAAACCTTAGCTCAAACCTATTTGCAGCCCTTGTCTTAATCCTATATAGTTGACTAAATAGAGCACAAAGCATTTGTCACCTAAGCATAGCCATACATATGCATGTATGCCTGAGCACCAAGTTATGTTTTCATTCATTAAATAAAAACATGTACTCTGATAATGTACTTGTATAAATCACTGTTTGTATACATGTAGGTCCAAACTCTCAAGCTTGAAGGTTTTAGGTGTCTGATATCAGCCTCCTCACATCACCTAGTAGATTGTTTGTGTTCCATGCCAAACCTGACTGAGCTGACACTAAGTGGACATGAGGAGGAGGAGTTCTTTTCTATACTGAATGCAAAGGCGTCAACATTACAGGTATGTTTGTGTTTTTGTACTCTATATCCTTGCCATGATGAATTCATGTTCACATGTAGCAGTGGAGATGAGTTTAAGGAGTTATATTTTAACAACAGTCACTACCGGTATTTTTATATTTTTGTAATGTTTTGTATAAAAATATATAACAGTCTTAGCAGAAAAAGAAAATTATTGGAAAGAGGTTCTATCATATGCAAAAAAAAGAATAAAAACATGTACTCTGATAATGTACTTGTATGAATCACTGTTTGTATACATGTAGGTCCAAACTCTCAAGCTTGTAGGTTTAACGTGTCCGACATCAGCCTCCTCACATCACCTCGTAGACGCTTTGTGTTCCATGCCAAACCTGAATGAACTGACACTAATGGGATTTAATTTTAAGGAGGAGTTCTTTTCTAAACTGAATGCAGAGGCGTCAACCTTACAGGTATGTATGTGTGTTTTTACTTTATATCCTTGCCATGATTAATTCATGTACACATGTAGCGGTGGAGATGAGTTTAAAGATAAAGTTGAGTTCTGGTCATGCAATTGTATTGTGAAAGAAACGTTGTGGAATCGATCAGAAAAGGTCGATCATCTAGCAGATAAGTATTGGTGTGTACTGCAAGGTTCTGGAATCATCAAAATGATAAGAAATTTGGCCCAGTCTTGGTAAAGTTACAAGCACTGTACAACGATGTTAATGGGACTACACGAACATATGGCATAAAAATCCGTCCTGATTTTTATGATGTTACATGCCATATTTAGAATATTAAGGCATTTGAAGAGCCATGCTTTCAAGGGAACACTTTGTATCTTATGTTCCTCCACACTTGCATATTACAATGATAACGCTCACAATTTTTTGTTCACCTCTTCCCAGAACTCAACCTTCTTTTTAAGGAGTGATGATATTTTAGCAACAGTTACACAAATTTCAATGTGTGTAATGTTTTGTATGAAAAATATGACAGTCTTAGCAGAAAAAGAAAAGTATTGTATAGAGGGTCTATCATGTGCATGCAGTGTATGATACAGTATTCATAAACTTGAGTTAAAAATATGATGTTCTGCATAAAAAATCACTTTTAAAGGTTTGCCTCATGAAAAATAGTTTGGTCTTTGACGGAGCCTAATAACTGGATTTTTGAGTTAGCATTTTGAGGGGAAAAGGAGTGTTGTGTTGCTACTTATGCAGTAATACAATTTCAGTGTAAACAGATCACTGAAGTACTCGTATATTTAAATATTTTTGTTTCTAATTTGTATATTATTAAGCTCATATCGATTCACAAAGTTTTAATTATGTCATTAATGGTCTGAAATCAGTATCAAAGTATACGTCAGATTTCAATATTCACTCAACAAGGATGGTGATCTGGATCACAGTGTACTTTTTTTTAGCACAACTACATGTACTCACTCTACATATACATTTTGTGTAATGCATACTTTTAGTCATGAATGTATTCTATAGCATTTAGACAAGGTGAACAATTTGTCTAAATAATGGACACAGGTATAGCTTTTTCTTTGTTTATTTAATTCTACAAACACAAATACAGCTCTATTTATTAAAATCAATCATATAAATAATGTACATTTTAAGATAATGGGCATCAACCATGGTTCACATAGGGGTGTTTGTGGTCCTGTGGATAACTATAGGTCTCTGGACAGTGAACCATGAGGTATGGGACTCGAATACCTGCCGTACGTAGCACTATTGTTGTTTGGCATGACATTATTTGCCACACTCGACCTAGGTGTAGTAAGCGGGTACCTGGTAGGATATATTCCTTGAATTCATCACTACCGTTGCAGGAGCTAAAGCCAGGATAAAAATATTCAAAGTCCTTTGAAAGCACAGAGAGATATTACATGTATATCATAATGTGACTGTGCTTAACAAGAATGGTATGTTATTGTTATTAAACCTATCATTTTTTTAAATTATTACACTTACTTTTATGATTCACTGTATGTACAGGTCCAAGCTATTTTTCTTGATGTAGTCACGTTTCCCACACCAACCTCATCCCAGAACCTAGCAGAATCATTGTGTTCCATGCCAAACCTGACTGGCCTGACAGTTGATGTTAAGACTTCTTTTGAGGGTTTCTGTTCTACATTGAAAGCAAAGGCATCATCCATTCAGGTATAATAGATCAATTGAAATACAGTGTCTTTGCCCAACATTTTGTGAAGAACTGATATTTTAATTTTCACTTTTGCTACTTTTAATGTAATATATCACCAAATGAACCTTAAATTTCATATACTTGCTTATAGTTATATTATCAAGACTCATTGTGTTTTACTCAGCATTCTGTTGTTTTGTTTTTGTTCTTGATGTTTTGTATAAAAATAATATTCAGCTTTTATATAGCGCGAATCACAATTAAGTCTCTAAGCGCTTCTAAACTTGGATATTATTACCCCGGCTTTAGCTGTGCTGCCATTATAGCGCTCTAGCATTTCAAGGAATAAATTCCTACCAGGTACCCATTTACTTCACCTGGGTGGAGTGTGGCAAATTTAGATCAATGTCTTGCTAAAGGACATTAGTGCGGCGGCGGGACTCGAACCGCATGATCAGGGTTGATCTGATAAATATGCCATAATTAAATGCACCATGGCTGTAATTGTAAAAGTCAGTCCTCCTAATGTTTGACACATGCTCTGTCAGCACTTTTTCTTTGCTTACTATCCTGCACCAACCAAATACTTAACTTTAGCCCTATTTTATTCAGCATTCTGTTTTTGTTTTTGTTCTAAATATTTTGGATAGGTGCATGACATAGGTTATGTACACTTATGAATATGCAGTTATCAAATGCAACATGGCTGTAATTCTAAAAGTTAGTCCGCTTGTTTTTGTTATACGTTTCGGGGGGGGGGGGGAGGGTGTGAGCATAAAGTTTTCTTAAAAAGTTGACCTGTTTTGAATGTGTGTGTTGTGGAGGGGTGGAGGGGGGTGTCAGCGTAACATTTTGGTTGAATATTGACCAGTTTTGAATGTGTGTGTTTAATGGGGGAGGGAGGGAGGAGGCTAAGGGGTATCAGGGTAAAGTTTTTGTTTTATATACTGACCAGTTCAACAAAGCTGCTTTGTATGCAGGCGCGTACGCAGGGGATGTGTTTTGGGGGTCGAACCCCCCCTCTTAATTTTGTTAAATATGTATGTTTTGTATGACCCCCCCCCCCTTCAATTTTTTTTATTAAAAAAAAGGTGCTTTTAGCCCCCCCCCCCCCCCCCCCCCCCGACTGGCTGAGTCGTTGCGAAATTTTCAACTTTAAAACCCCTTCTCGGACAAATCCTCCGTACGCCCCTGTTTGTATGTGTGTGTGTGGGACACAAGGACAATAAGTCTATATATCAAAGAAAGAGAGAGTACTGACCTGGTATGTAAATGTAGAATATATATCGATCTGTATGTCAGGGAGACTGGAATGGAGGAAAAGGACAATAAATGAATCTCTATCACCAATCTTGCTCTTATATCCATATTCTTGTCAGGGTTCTTTTCCTCGAGTCAGAGAAGGAAATTTCAACTTCAATGGAGATCATCAAGTGCGGGATTTCAATTCATTCCTGGGGTATCTCGCTGAATGGTAAGTGAACTAAATATAATGAATTACAAATTTATTTTATTATACAACTCACTCCTAGATCCTAATCAAATAATTGGTCAGATGCGGTCATGTGTGATTCACTATCACAGGATTTTCAATGAAGCATGCAATACTTTCCAGTACGATCTTTAAGAACACAATATGCAGCAGTGCATGTAGAGTTTACTGTGTTTTATACACTGGGTGTAGATAAATACATGTGTAGCACTAGCTTGTAGAGATAAGTGCGCATATGTCTGTGTGTGCTCTAAATTAAGGCCCAACAAAAAATCATTCGGTTGTCCTCGACTGCTTTTCTGGAGTAGGGGCTATGGGCGGATTTTTTTTGTATATATTTTTTTTTTAACTTAATTTTTTGTGTGTCCGCTTTTTTAGATTTTGTATAAATGATTTTTTTCAATAAAAAAAATATAATCATTGGGATGTCAAGTATTTGAACAAACAAAGTTTATAAAACACTCTAATATGATAAAAGACTAGGATCAAGACCAACACAAAAGTATTTTTGGCTCTGAAATACAGCACCTTTTAAATCTCCATGGTACTACTTATAGCTACTTGCACCCTCTATAGGGGTTAAGCCCCCCCCCCCCCCCTATACATCTTTCGAAAAAAAAATGTTAACGCCAAAGAATCTTGCGCTGAAGTTTTCGGACTTTTTTCTTTTGAGTCTTGCGCATCTTTTGTGAAGAAAAAAAATTGAAAAGGGGATCTACTCTACAAAATCACATCTCCTTTTGTCTTTGCATGTCGCTCATTTTCGTGATTTGTGTACAAAACATATGGAAATCTCATTTTCCAAAAAAAGAGATAAAACATTGGTTATTTGGTCTTTTTTTATACCTAAGGTGTTTATTTTGGGGTTCAAAATAGTTGAATGACAGTTTGAATTAAAATAAAACAAACAATAAAATACATAAATTAAAAAAACATTGAAATATACAATATCAAATCAATAGAAAGACATTATCCCAAATGGTCTAAGGTATATATGTAGGGAAAACTACTTCAAATATGAAGAATAAATGATTTATGGGTAAAAATGTGAATTGTATTAACTTATTTGCATAAATTACCATAAATATGCAAATATAAAAAATATAAAAAATACCATAGCAATCTATACACTTCTCTAGACATGCATGCACATTTTCAGATCATAGGGGGGAGGGGGGCCTTAGAAGCACCCCCCCTCCCCCCTGGGTTATGCAGTTTCAAAATAGCCCGGGCTAGATAGGGTTAAATGTTCATGTACATAGCCAGCTCTGTGTAGAAATTAACCAATGAATTTTATAAGTTATCTTTACTAAAACAGGAAACATTATTTCACTAGCATAAAAGATAACATACATTTTGGAATACCACCCCAGGCCCCCTGCGCCTGACCCCCTTAACATTGAAAGTTACGATTAATATTATCTCCCAAATCTTGATTGCACCTGCAACTCCTTTAAAAATTTGTAACGTTAAAATAAATAGCAACTTACCATTAATTTTATGTTACAAAATATGTAGATCAATGCTAACTAAGATACAATGAATTGTAGAAAAACTAGAGATACAATTGTAGCAAAACTGAAGATACAACAGATTTTTACAATTGATTGGATTGTCAGTCACTTCATATGTTGCAGGGCCCAGATCCTATCCCCAAAACCTATATTTTATATTCTTTCCTCAACATCAATTCAGTGACGAATTTCCAGACGTCAAGTGGGATGACGTCTCAGACGAGGAGGATGACGTCTCGGCGGAGGGAGATAACGTCTGGGATGAGGAGGATGATGTCTCAGACGAGGGGGGTGACGTCTCAGGCGAGGGGGATAACGTCTCAGGCGAGGAGGATGATGTCTCAGACGAGGGGGATGACGTCTCAGACAAGGAGGATAACGTCTCAGGCGAGGAGAATTACGTCTCAGCCGAGGAGGATAACGTCTCAGGCGAGGAGGATAACGTCTCAGCCGAGGAGGATAATGTCTCAGCCGAGGAGGATGACGTCTCGGACGAGGAGGATAATGTCTCAGCCGAGGAGGATGACGTCTCGGACGAGGAGGATGACATCTCGAACGAGGAGGATGACGTCTCGGGCGAGGAGGATGACGTCTCAGACGAGGAGGATGACCTATGATGGACATCACAGCCATCAGAACACCTTCGAGAGCCACACAATGGCAGTGTACAACCATCCAGATCGCACAGCTGGATTACATGCTGCTCTATTGTGTAGAACTATCTTTAAGAGGGTTGTACGACACTTGCTACTGCGAATATTGCTCGGCGTCGGTTTCCTACACTAAACCAAAATTCTAACTTCAACCTCAGACCTGACATATTAATGCACAGATAAACTTATAATATTCAACACTAATAATGAAACAGCAAATTCAGTGTTAAGTGTATCTTCGGAGGCAGCGGGTATGCGTCGGCGTATCACAAAATAGCAACGTTATTATACACATTTAATATATCATATTACGTGTACCTAACCGTAACCCTAAAC